GATTGACGACCTAGAATTGATGAGACAAGGCGTCCTATTAGGAATGATGCCCAACGAAGGTGGGAAAATGATGGTAAAAGACCGAGGGAAGGTCAAAGACAGTGAAGTAGTCCCCCCAACAAATGATGATACCATTCAAGAAATTGACACAATTTTTTAGAGAGGCTAATAAACCCCATAGTCAACAAAATTCGACCCTCAAGTTAGAGGAGGGTTCAACCCATCACTTTTACACAAGAGGACGATGTTGATATGTATTATCCACATTGCGATGCCCTTTTAGTAAGGGCCATTAAAGTACGAAATGGCCTTAAAAGAATGTTGATGGATAATGAAAGCTCAGTCAATATCATATTCAAAACAATCTCTGATAAAATAGAAGTTGATCATGAGTTGATCCCAATGAACTCTTTTTGTATGGTTTCACTAGGGATAGCATCATCCTAAGAAGAAAAATCACTCTACAAGAACGACACCATTAACTGCTCATCATTTCATGGAACGTTTGGTGGTGGACAACAGTTCTGCCTACCATGGAATGCTGGGAGGCTAGCATTAAAGGAACTATGAGCCGTCACGTCCATTCACCACTTGTGAATGAAATTTCAAATGGAAAACAACATCGCCACAAATGGAGGCAATCAAACGAGTGTAAGGAATGCTACTCAAACTCCATAAAGAAAGTTGAACCAGGAGATGTCAATGTAATTGTATTGGACATTGACATGGATGACGACCCTGAACAAGGGTAAAACTCTGAATAAGTGAAAGACTTCGAGATGATAAATGCCTCTAAAGAAAAGTCAGTTCTTAAGGTGCAATCAGCCCTTGAAGAAGGTAAATCTACTGAAGAAATTGTTAACCTTGATGAACTAGATCCCTTCATAATTGATTACTAACCTCATATAGCCATAGTAGAAGAGTTAGAGAGCTTCATGGTGGATTTTCAGGACCCCTCAAAATCCTTGTAGTTAGAAAAACCTGCCACCAGAGTTAAAGTATTTCTTACATTACAAATTGGATATCTTCTCATGGAAACACAATGATATGGTTGGCATTAATTCAAATGTTAGTTCTCACCATTTAAAGATTGATCCCATGGTGACCCATCGTCGGTAGAAAATGATAGCCCTCAATCCGGAGGATATGAGGCACTAAAGCATGAAGTAAAGAAATTGACCGACAACTGCTTCATTCGAGAATCGATTTATCCAAAGTGGGTATCAAATCCTGTCCTTGTTAAGAAACACAATGGAAAGTGGTGGGTATGCATAGATTTTCCAATCTTAATCAAACCCCGTTTTGAGGATAGTTTTCCACTACCATGAATAGATCAGCTCATTGATTCTACTGTGGGGCATGAACTGTTGAGCTTCATGGACTTCTACTCAAGCTACAACCAGATCCTAATGCATCTAATGGATGAAAAGTACACATCATTCATAATGGATAAATGTCTCTATTGCTACAAGATGATGCCTTTTAGGCTAAAAAATGCGAAGCTACTTATTAGAGACTTGTTAAGAAGATGTTCGTTGACCTCAATGGAAAGACAATGGAGGTAAGTGAATGATATGTTGGTCAAAAGCTTGAAGGTAGAGGACTATCAAACAGGATGAAGTGTTATACAAATGAGGTTTTTCTTTACCCCTACTCCAATGCATAGGTGGTGAATAAGCCACCTACGTGCTCTAAGAAATTCATGAGGGAGTATGTGACAACCACAGGGGAGAATGGTCTTTGGTACAAAAAGTGTTAAAGCATGGACATTATTGGCCCACGCTAGAAAATGATGCACAATAGTTTGTGAAAAGGTGAGATAAGTGCTAACGCTTTACAATTATTTAGAGACATCATTCTCAAGAGCTAAGTGTCATTTCTGGCCCCTAGCCATTTGTCAAGTGGGGATTGAGCTTATAGGACCCCTACCTAAGTGAAGTATCAGTGCTAGCTTCGCAATTGTTGTTATTGATTGTTTTACGAAATGGGTTGAATCCAAACCTCTGTCCAAAATTATAGAAGCCAACACTTCCAAATTTTTGTGGAAAAACATTATATGTTGATTCATAATGTTTCATTCAATTGTCTCAAATAATGGACATTAGTTTGACAATAAGAGGGTCGGAAACTTATGTGGGGAACTAGGAATCAAGAAACACTTTTTTCCTCATCATTTCTCAGCTAATTGAAATGTGGAAGCAATTAATAAGGCCATCAAATACACCCTCAAGCAAAAGTTGGATGCTTCTAAATGGGCTTGGGTCGATGAGCTACCTCAGGTCTCATGGGTCATCCAAACTATTAGTAGGATAGCCATAAGAGAAATCCCTTTCTCAATAGCTTATGGGGCTGAGGTCATGATCCCAGTTGAACTAGGTCTACCATCTCCTAATCCCATACTTTTTAACAAAATATCTGATGAAGAGTTGAGAAGATTCGAATCAATTTCCTATAAGAAAGGAGGGATGAATCTCAAACGAGATTGGCTATCTACCAGTGAAAGATAACTAGGTACTACAATTCTAAGGTTAAAAAAAAATCATTTTGTTTGAATGACCTTGTATTACAAAGAGTATTTCTATTATCGAAAGAACCAGGAGTGGGAATCCTAGGTCCCAACTGGGAAGGCCCCAATTGTATCATAGATTCGACCTTAAACCTACAAGATCGAAAGTTTGGATGGAAGGGCACATTGTCATCCTTGGAATGCTGAGCACCTAAGAAAGTACTATTAGTACAAAATGTGAACACATCTCACGTATAGTTGTATTAAATTAAATAAAGTGTCTTGTTAAATTTTTGTTATCAAAAAATAATTCCCATTGACAAAAGTCATGGGAAAAGCCTCTGTCTAGATGAACAATCCATACGTAAGGAAACGTGGGCACTTTGATGAAAAGATAGATCCTAAAAGAGGACCACTTCTTTACTCATCGAAGTAGACAACATATACCTTTAACAACAAAAGTTGTTAAGGAAGCCTTAACATGGATGAATCACTCAAAACCATGCTAAGGAAAATAAATGAAAAAACATACGAACTCCCAACACTTGTGCAAATTGTGAATAAATATAAATCTGAAATAAATGTTGAAGTATTAAGAAGCAATAAAGTATGTAAGAATTCAGTAAAAATACTAGAAGAAATGTCAAAAATATTTAATTCATTAAAAACCATTACAATTGTGGGTGATAAGTTATTTACAATGATTAAAGATTATAGTCCTATCAGCTAAATAGGTGAGGGAGGAGGAGGAACAAAGGAAATTATAGCATCGGGAGCCACAGCTTCAGAAGACACATCTTCATTAGTCTCATCTTCAATTTCCATTACATGGCTACCCTCTATAAGAGTTTGAGGTTTTTCTTATTCTCCTTCTTCCAAAAACTTTGGCCTTAACTCAAAGGTGTTAAAGGTTCGGGAGTTCACTTCAGTCTACTCTACCACTTCAGTGTATGCAGACCTCCGAATGCTTAACAAAGCTTTCATACGTCTCCATTAAGTGGAAGGTGTTAATGTACTGTTTCATAGCATCATTCCCAGCAAATTGAGCTTCTTTCCTCGCTATCTCTACCTCTTTCATCAGACCTAATATTTTGGAGTTGATCTCTCCCAACTACTGCTTCAATGTAACATTTTCCCTATTTGACATCTCCAATGCCTCAGCAGCCAACTTCTGATAGATGTCGAAAGTCTCCACTCGCTTGGTCATGGAAGCCATTTCACTTTGGGACAAGTTGACTTTCCTTTTTCAAAATTTAAATCTCTATTAAGGTAGATGCGAGTTTTACAGACTCTTCAGCCTATTACTTCTGGGTGGCCTCCACATCAGTTTTGGCCTTTTTGGTTGCCTTCTCGGCCTGGGAGGTCTTTTTGGAAAATTCCTTATTATTATTTTGAAGGTTTTTAAAGAAAGTTTCAGTCTCTATGTCAACTCTAAATGCCCTCATTGTATGGCTCACCATGGTGGCAAAGATGTCCACCTAGTTTCTGGTCCTCACGAAAGTTTTCCACTAATCCGTCCAGAACTTATGAAATGTAGAAATTGTAGTTTTGACCTCTGGAGGGAGAATTGACCCAACCTCCGATGCCAGTTCATCTCTTTTTGTGGAGATGGAGAGCTTAGGGTGAGTACTTGAGTTAGAAGCAGTCAACTTACTTGAAGTTGTCACCCTCTTCGAAGATTCTTGCCTTAGGGGCCCTATGAAAGTTGGCCTCTTCTAACCCCCTTGACAGCGACAATGGAAGTCGCCATCAACTTTTTGCTAATTGGGATTTCAGAGCGAGGCGATCGGCCGATGACGAGTGTGCATTACTCACAAGTTTTACACAGTTTTAACTTGATTATTAGCTAGATCTTATGACTATAGAATGTTTTCAATGTGTTTGCTTGTGTTTTTTTAAAGGTTAGGAGAGGTGATGTAAAAATGATAATAAAGTGAACAAATAAGCCAATGACAAGTTTTGGGACAGCAAGGCAATGCCTAGAAAAACAATTTTGGGCAAAAAGGCAGCACTAAAGCACTACACTTATAACGCCCATGATTTGCGCTCAGCGCCTAGGCGCTATACTCATAGCATTGAGACGCTACCTGTAGTTCTTAGGCACTGAACTCATAACGACTAGGAGCTATACTATGTTTTTTTGCGACACTTAGGCACTATGTCGTTTGATTTAAAGTTGCAGCGATTTAGCCTGTTTGAAGCCCATAAAACACCCTACACTCAACACCAACATGAGGAGGAATATAAATACAAGTTTTTGACACTTCTAAAGGAGACCACACATTGAGAGGCACAATATACAACATGAGATTTCAAGAAAAAATCAAAAGAAAGGAAAGCAAGAAATCAAGATCTAGTTTTGAAATCAAGATTGGAGGCAAGAAGAGAACTTGGTGCAAGATTCGTTATCTTTTCTACTTCTCAATTCAAAACCCGGTGATGTCTCAATGTAAATCTTTGATTTTTCTTCCAATATCACTAATAGCTAAATTTAATATTAGGACAAACAATGTAATCTATTGAGACCCTTTATATCTTTTATATAAGATTCTTGTTCTTTATTCTTTCATGTGTTGATTTTACTATGAGCTTAATGCATTGAATTACTTAATCACTAATTTGATAATTTTGTGAATCTTTTACGAGTTGAGAGATAAGTTTAGGATTTAGACATATAATAAAATTTGATAAATTGGTATAACATGTAGAGATATATATACCGATTATTGCAATCGTGTATGAATTCTTAGGACCAGTGTTTTGTTTACTAAGCTTGATTCGCATAGAGAAATGGAATTGAATTAGTTAAATAGGCTCAATGAGAACTCGAGAGGGGTAAATTGAATACAATATAATAATTCAATTGAACACTACATTGACGTGAATCTTGAATTAAGATTTAATGGGAATCAATAGAGGAAATTGTTATGCCCTAATACCTATCCCATATTTAAATCCTCAACTTATCTTTTTTTGTTTAATTTTGATATTTTCATGCATTAACAACAAAACAACAATCCTAGCTATTTGTTTACTTTTGTCAAATAGTAGATAGAAATATTAAATTAGGAATAAAAGCATAGTCCTCGTGGAAATGACAATCGGACTGAAAGGTCCATTATATTATTTGTTACAACCCGTATACATGCGGTGTATAAAATTAACAACAGCTGACCAGTGACCCATCCTCTTCGGTAGAAGAAAATTTGTATTTTTTTCTTGGGCAGAACTTTTTTCTTGGGCACCTTCTCCACTGTATTCTTTCCATTATCTTTTGTAGGAGGTCATCCCTTACCGATCCTCTCTACTTGGTGCCTAACTTGTTTTGCTGCAATAGATGAGGACTTCAACCCTTTCCTCCTGGTAATAAAGGTGCAGCAAGTATAACGGCCATGTCAGATGTGGGATGCCTCCTCTTTTCAAAACTTTATGTAAAACAAATGAGGTTAGCATAAGTCTACAAACAAGTAAAAAACCATGATGAAAAGTGAAGTTATCTCTTCGGGTCATCAAGCAGAACTCCTATAAGAATCTTTTGGAGACAATCAAACGATCAAATTCCCTTGAAGATAAAGAATGGAAGTAGATATCTTCAATAACCTCCAACTTTGTTCGGCTCAGTTTGAAGGGGTCAACCGATCCCGTGAAAGAAGAAAAAGGGTTAGAACCAAATCAATCACAAGTAAAAGTTAACTAAAGATATAACACTTACAAGCTTTTTAGTAGGAGTTTTGAGCTATCACAAGGGGGACTGTTTCCCTCGCACATCTGGCACTATTCCCTTACCTAGAAACACACCTCATTCTATCCTTTGATAGAGGAGGGAAGGCTTGTGACAAATGCGAAATGTGACACCAACAGACGGAGTGAGTACCATCCTTTAGAATCTCCTTTTCCTAAGACCTTTGGTTAGAAAATGGTCTAAAAAATGTGGAAGGACATGTTCTTGCCAAAGGAGATCTTCTTCTACAGAAAATAGGCTTCCACTAATTAGGACCAAGCATTGGGGACGAGCTGGGTGTGAGTCAACCCGTGTAACCCGGTAACGACTCTAAAGAAGAGGTGAAGAGGCAAACGAAGTCCTACCTTTAGAAGAAACT